GTATGGGTGTTCCTGGCAGGGCTAGGATTTGAGAATCCCCAGTTGCCTTTGAGAAGATGGGGGTGAGTTGCCTTCTTTAACTGCTGTAGTCCATGTGCTGTATGTAGACTTCGAATCCTGTCCAGCAGGGAGGGGGGTTCCAGGATTTTGACCCAGTTAAATCTGTAACCCCTGGGAATCACCGATTCTGCCACTAGAAACAATTCCTCTATTTACTTATCAAAACCATTCCTGATTTTGAACATTGATCAAATCTCTTAATTTGCTCTGAATTTAGGAGATCAATCCAACAAAAGTAAACAGGAATCCACAAATAAACACAGTACTACACCAAAATAAATAGCATTTGCATTAACAGCATCTACAAAAAGGATTTTTGATTTTGCTATTAAATTTGTGCTACTGTCATAGAATCATAGAATCCCTACAGTGTGGAAAACAGGCCCTTCGGCCCAACAAGTCCACACCAAACCTCAGATCATCCCACCAAGACCCATTCCCCCTATAACCCATCTAATCTACACCTCCCTGAACACTACGGGCAATTCAGCATGGCCAATCCATCTAACCTGCACATCTCTGGACTGTGGGAGGAAACCGGAGCACCCGGAGGAAACCCACACAGACACAGGGAGAACGTGCAAACTCCACACAGACAGTCACCCGAGGCTGGAATCGAGGGAGGGACAACTTGAAGATATCTCACTCGGAGAAACAAGGCTAGAAATAGTACTGAAACTCAATGACAGCTCAAAGTTCATATACAACACTAGATAATATATTTGCAGATCATTCAACTTTAGAATGGATCACAATAAAGCCGATTCCATTCATGCATATAGTCTCCATTCACAAAGAATGGAGAGAGTCCTTTGATACTTTTTTCTCTCAATGCATGCCCTAATTGAGACAGCGGTGGACCCAACCGCATTATTGTTAGACAGGATAACAACTTCAGAGTACCTTACAACATTCTACTGGAAACTAAGCATTAAAATAGCTCAGTTCTCACTGCTTTAAATACATGTACAGTATGGTACCCAGATGTACAAAGAAATAAAACAAAAGACAAATAATCTGATACAGGAAAGGAAGATAAATGTTTTTTCACTCTTTCTATTCGAACCCATTGTTGTATTTGGTCATCCTCCCATTAGTTTTCCCAGCTTAGTAGTTAGATTATACTTATATGGTCAAACTTGCACTTCCATTTATAGAACACCTTTAATGTAAAGGAATATCCCAAGATGCCTCAAGATTATTACAAAATAAAAAACGATACTGAGCCACATCATGAGATATTAGGTCAGATAACCAAAAGGTTACTTGAAGAGATGGTCTGAGAGGGTTCCAAAGGAAAAAAAATGAAACAGAAATAGCATTCCAGAGCTTGGGGTTTGGGCAACAGAAGATACTTATCAGGGAGCAATTAAAAAATTGGGGCAAGAGACCAGAATTTAGTTCAATGTACTGAAAGAAAACATTTCTCACAAGATATTAATAAAGAAATTACATAGTAAATAAACTGATTTTAATACTGATCCTTCATATTTTGATGATATATTAATTCCCCAAAATCTGACGTGCAAAAATGTTCCCAGGTTTTACTTAGCCAACAGACATTAATAAACCTTGACCAATCTCAGTCCATTTACTGCCTGCTGTAGACAGGTGCACACATTTGGGACAAAAAAAAAGACAGTGGGAACTGCCGATGCTGGAGAATCTGAGATAACAAGGTGTAGAGCTGGATGAACGCAGCAGAGGAGTAGGAAAGCTGTCGAAAGGTCCAGCTTTCCTGCTCCTCTGATGCTGCTTGGCCTGCTGTGTTCATCCAGCTCTACACCTTGTTATCTGGGACAAAACAGCATTTATTTTTAAAAATCAGGATCACAATTCCTCATGGAGTAACTTTTGTTAACACCTGCATTAGGCCATTGTGCCTTTCAGTGGAAAGAATGGGATAACTAATCAATGACTTCCATTTTCTATATTAGGTATTAATAGCTGGTATGTCCATATTAATCATTGGAACACAGAATCCCTGCAGTGCAGAAAGAGGCCACTCAGCCCATCAAGACTGTACCGAACTCCCAAAGAGCATTCCACCCTGACCCACCACTGCCCCTCACCTTATACCTCTAACCCCTTATTTACCATGGCTAATCCACCTAGCCTGTACATCCCTGGACACCACAAAGAAATTTAGCATAGCCAATTCACCCAACCTACACATCTTTGGACTATGGGATGAATCCAGCACATCAGGTGGAAACCCACAGACATAAGGAGAACATGCAAACTCCATGCATACAGTCACCCAAGGTTGGAATCAAACCCTGGCCCCTGTCACTGTCAGACAGCAGTGTGTCACAGTACCCCATCCCCACTTCTGCTTCAAATGGTACTTGTTGTAATACCTCAATACCTGATGCATGATGTTGCTGCTACTCATTGGCTATTGCATTATTGACCTTATGTCTCATAAGGATTTATACTGTGAATTTAAGAGAATTTTCAGCAGCTCCAGTGAATGAGTAGACTACTGACATTTTAAGAATTCCACAATCTATAGTTCCTTCTATTGACAATTTTTAACTTTATAATCATTTATAAAGCAGGCGAAGTCAATTCTCACTGCCAGATGGTGTTGTAAATCAAGCAAATGCAATGGGATTGCAAAGGTGATTTTCATGAGACACAGAACTAAGCAATACCGTAAAGCAAAGCAAGACACAGGATTGTGGATTGTTTCCAACATAATAAGCAGAATTTAAAAATTGGGCTTGGCAAATGAAGATCATGACTGCAATTGTCTGAATCTATCTCTTTCTGCACTGCTTCTTCCTTTAATGTAGAATATCTTGAGATGATTCATAGGGGAGGAAAAGGAGATGGACAAATGAATATTTAAGGGGAAAACTAGAATAAGTGACTAAATGAAAAGTTGGAAATTGAGTTGCTGAGAAGGCTTTTTAAAACAGATCCTGATGGGAAAAGATTGAGAGAGGTAGTTTCAGAGTCCAGAGCCAAGGCAGCTGAATGTATTGCTCCAGCCATACAATTTAAAAATCATTTCTGTGCCTGAAAAATACAATGTTCTACCAGACACTTCGCGATGAGCGCAAATGAAGGAAACTGAATCCTGTGTACAAATAGGCTTCTGTAAAATGGGGTTGCCATGAAACTCATTGAAATCAAACGTACAGTAATTAGAACAATTTCATCACTAAAAATACTGTGATAAATTGAAAGCTGTAAATGAGGCCCTCAAGAATTGTAAAGGAGGCCATAGCGCCTTCTCTGCAAACATGGGTGGGGATGTAAAACAACATGAAAAATTTTAGACTGCCAAGCATAGTTTAAAACATCAGACTTATAAACGATAACATAAAAATGGCCAAATATCAAAATTTTACAAGCAAAATATAAATGCCATAAATCCCAAGATACAGAAGGGATTAGTAGACCAAAGTATGATAACGCCTAATCATTGCCAACATCAATTAAGCAAACAAGGTGCAGACACTATCAACACAGCCAACTTTTTGGGCACCAATTAAATCAGAACACAAATTCAGATAAAATGGCTGGATCTGTAGTAAAAGTTACACAAATCAACAGAAACAAAAATAAGTGAAAGCACAACCACAAGTTAAGATTCACTAGTTATTCAGTGTACATTAATTATTTCATTGGCAGTAATCCAATTCTGTGAACACAAATACATTAGCTGTTTATTTTAGAAAAGGTTTATTTCAAAACGTAATGTTTAAGGATTTTATATATAATACCATAAATGCTACAAGCAATTTGTGCATTGGCACATTTTTTTTTAAAACAATACCATCCTTAAGCATAACTGTAAAAAAAGTAAAAGTTTTTTTTAAAAAGAACATTAAACTCAAGATTGCTGCTGTCAATGGCAACAGTCTGAACACGGCGCCTGCGCCCTGGACACAGAAGGACATTAAGCGACAGATTCGACATTTCTTTCAAAATGTGTGCTTCTCTCCCCCACCCCCTTTGCTTGTATTTGATGCAACATTTTCTCCAAATTTCTTGCTTTGCAATTTGACGCAAAAATATAAGAGGGCAGTGGGACGGTGGAAAGCCACATCTTTCTGCACAAATCGTATTCAGTATTTCTGCTTAAACAGAGGTCTTGCATTTAATGATTTTAAAAAAAAATCTCAAGCCTCCCCCTTCCTGAAATGATTACACACTAAGGAATCAGTGTTTAAAACGATATCATTTTCTTCTTCTCCCTTCATTTTGCAGGGTTACAGGGATCACCATCAAGAATTTGAAGCACCACTCCCCACCATAAGTCCAGGTCAGGGCCTGCACCCGGTCGGGCTGCAAACCTGCGCCCCAGGGGATATTATTTTGAGGTAAATTTGCGGCCTTCAAAGTCGATAACGGCCCATGAGCCCAGGGCTCAATTACGGCATGATTTTTTTTTTAAATTATCCTTTGTGTAGGCTGCTTCTCACCTCCACCGAGGCCTCCAGCTTCCCTTCGAAAGTGAAGTCGATGAGGTCGGGCTTCAGACACAGTGAGTAGTTCTCCGGGGTCACGTCGGTGGGGAGACGCTCGAAGGGTCTCTTGGCCGGCATTTTGTCTGGACAGTGAGGGCGGGTGCCGAGGAGTCTCCTAGGTGCGCCGTCTCGGTTACCGATGGCGTGTGCCGGGGCTCTGGCTCGGAGGGTGAGAGGGACACGGCCTCTCCAGCAGCTGGAGGCGATGAGCAGACGGCGGAAAGCGAGGACCGCGGTGGCGCCGCCGAGCAACATCAATGAAGCTGACAAACTGACCGCCCCCTCCCGTTCGCTTGTCCGTGCGTGCGCGCTACCCCATTGCCGCCACTCACCCAGCGTGCGCGCAGAAACCCACTGGTGGACGTGACTCGCGGCACGAGCATCCGCAAGGCGATGCGTGTCGTCACCTGTCGGACATCTTCACGTGCGCGTGACCGAGAGTGGGTGGGGGCGGGAAGAGATAGAATGTGTCGTGGAAACCGTCGCCTGGGCCTAATGGAGTGACTACAAGCGCGCCTGGCCTGAGAGCTTGATGGCAGGCAAAGTCAGCTGCTGAACGGGAAGGATGGAGTGTTGGCAACTGGTTTGGTTGCCTGGAAAGCTAACCGATATAAAGGACTGTATGGGTGACCTTATAGAGATTTATAAAATAATGAGGGCTATAGAAAAGGTGAATAGCCAAGGTCTTTTCCCTAGGGTAGGGGAATTGAAAACTAGAGTGCATAGTTTTAAGGTGAGAGGGGAGATGAAAGTGACCTGAGGGGCAACATTTTCACACAGAAAGTGGTGCATGTGTGGAATAAACTACCAGAGGAAGTGGTGGATGCAAGTACAGTTTCAACATTTAAAAAATATTTGGGCAGGTACATTAACTGGAAAAGATAAGAGGGATATGGGCCAAATGCAGGCAAATGGGACTAGTTTGGTTTGGGAAACCTGGTTGGCATGGACAACTTGGATCAAAATGCCCATTTCCATGCTGTATAACTCTATGTGGTAAAACCAATCAACAGTGGTTCTGTGGTTAGCACTGCTGCGTCACAGCACCAGGCACCTCGGTTCAATTCCAGCCTTGGGTGACTGTGTGCGCAGTTTGCATGTTCTCCCTGTGTCTGTGTGGGTTTTTGCTGGGCGTTCTAGTTTCCTCCCCAAAGTCCAAAGATGTGAAAGTTAGGAGATTGGCCATGCTAAGATTGACTGTAGTATGTAGGCAAGGTGGATTAGCCATGGCAAATATGAAGTTACAAGGGTAGGATTGGGTGTGGGGTGTGGGGGGTGGCTGGGTCTTCAGAGGGTCAGTGCAGACTTGATGGGCCTAATGGCCTCTTTGCACTGTAGGGATTCTATGATTCTATAACAAAAACCAAAATAGTGGACAAATCCAGCAGGTCTGGCAGAATCTATGGCTAGAGAGATAGAATTAACGTTTCACATTGACTGAGGGTAGAAATACTTTGGATTATATCCTGCTGAAAGGGAAGAAGGGTAGGAAGAACTAAAGGGAATGTCAAGGGTAGGATAGAAGGTGGCAGAGAAGATTAATTGACTAATGTGTCATGGAATAGAAGGCAAAGGAATTTGTAATTGTTATTGTAAAGAGACAAAAGACATGGTCCAGAGTGACCAGAAATGCCTGAATATTGAATGTATCAATCTGAAAGCAAACCATGATAGAGATTCAAACTCAGATAGGGTGGAAAATGAGCACAAGGCAAACCTTATCATTCTGGGAGGGAGGAGAAGGGTGAGAGCAGAGCTACAAGAAATGGGTCAGATCTGGTCAAGGGGCTCTGCCAACCACATAGGGGAAATCTTTAGAAAGCACGATTGTGGACAGATTCTATGAATCTGGGTAGGTTTGTTGTCTGTTTTAAACTACTTGTTGAAGGGTTGGATGAAGGACTGGGCAGTACGAGGCACCACCCAAATTTAAAAAAAGTGGAAGACAAAGGCTGAATTGAAAAATGTTCATTATGTGAGATCTACAGGTTGCAAATTAATTGAAGGTGAAGATGCTGAGGATTTTTTTTTAGCTAAGAGAATGAAATTTAATAAGAAAGATCTATATGTTACTGTAAACTCCAAGGCTTGACTCCCTCTCAGATAAACCACAGGTTTTCTGCATTCTTTGAAGGGCTCCACAGAGCAATTATTGCTAATTCCTGATGAGCCACAACTCCCAATGGCTCCATCTTCCTCCTTTCACCAACCTCCCTATCCAATCCACACAAATGGCAGTCATCCAATCAAACGTCTTCCCAGTCTGCTAACCTGGATCATCATTAATGCTATGGAATCTCTCAGTTGATCAACAAATTTTACTGTGCTCCACATCTTTACTCAATGCCTGTTCATCACAATCAACGTCCTTGGGATCTATGTCATTACTCTGCATGATGGCATTGTGGCCCTGGTATAATCTTGGTTCACAAGTCACATCACCGGGCTTTTACTAATAGCCTCAACTAAAGAACAGAACCTTCAACATTGCTGTCTTTCCTCAGTATTGCACTGCAGTGTCACTTATGCATTCAAGCATGTAGTAAGACTTGAACTCTCAATGGCTGCCTCAGAGTCATGAGTGCTACTGTTTGAGCTGTTGTTATCAGTTACGCATCAGGTATGGCCAAGGTGAGACTATCCACTGACAATACAGTATAGAGCTAGAGTAACACAACAGGCCAGGCAGCATCAGAGGAGCGGGAAAGTTGATGTTTTGGGTCAGGACCCTTCGGGAACCCTGCTGTGTTCCTGCAGCTCCATACTGTGTTGTCTCCGAGTCCATTATCTGTAGTTCTTGCTATCTCTATACCATCCACTGATTGATCTGCCCAAATTGCCATTCTGACAGTGTGGCCTAATCACAAATTTCCCATTGGATTGTTTTTATTCTTCTCTGGCAACTTTGTCCTTGTCTCACCACTCTCATCTCCTTTTTCAAATGTTCATTCTCTATAGCCAACCTGATTTTTTCTCTTTGATAGATATATATATGTATATATATATATATATATATATATATACTTATACCCTCACACCCTCCCTCAGTCCCAATTCTGAATGACATCTCCTGAGATTTTAGCTTGCATCTCAATCTATTTATAGTACAGTATAAAATGCAGGGTTGGTCTCCACTGGAGTATTGTGTCTAATTCTAGGCACCACACTTTAGGAAGGTTGTAAAGGCATTAAACAGTGCAGAATTGATTCACAAGAGCAATTGGAGGGATGAGGAACTTCAGCTGCATGGTAAAATCAGTGAATCTAAGGCTGTTTTCTTTGCAGACGAGGAGGTAAGAGATTTTCTGGACAGAGTAGATAGCTAGAAACTGTTCCTACGGATGGAAAGATCAAGAATCAGAGAAGATGTACATAAATTGATTGACAAAAGAAGCAAAGCAACCTGAAAAAACAGTGATTGGCTAGGGTCTCAAATGCATTGCCCAAGATTGTGGTTTGTGCAAGGAATATTTTGTGTTAAAACATTCCATTCCTGGCTTACTTCGTAGATCATTTGCCCAGTGTAGTACCTGCAAGATAAGAAGTTTAATCTCTAATCTGTGCCCTGATTTAATCTTAATCAAGGCAACAGTAAATTGCCTAAAGAACCCAAGATTAGGGAGCAGAAAATCTATCCAAAGTTTATGAGCCTGATTGCAGTTTGACTAAATGAGTGGATATCAGTGAGTTTGGAAGAGGGCCCCCAATTGTTGAATAACCCACCAGTACTCAGTGCAAACCCCTACGCTATTTGTGTGAGACACAAGATGCTGATGGCATTAATAGAAATGTATTGTAGCATGAGTCAGTGCCTTCAGAGGATGTGGGAAGAAAAGACTAGGTTGTTCTGTTGAGAAAATAGAAGTCATGATATTGCTTACACATGATGTGAAAATTACGCCCCAGCTGCTCCCACTTGTTGGCAAAAACATATTTCTTTTGTGCAACATTGCAACCATTAATATCATGTCCACCTGTCCTGAAATGAATAGAATTGACACCTGTACAACTCTGGACTGACCTTACGTTTCTACATTATATTGGCATACCTGGATTCTCAGCATTTGTATTGCTGTATTGGGTCATTAAATCCTGAAATCATTAAACTACTGCTAAAATTGACACCTGCCCAGTTTTGTTCCTTCATAACCTGCTCTTGAAATTTGCATAACATGAAGACTAGGTACCAGGAACTTATATTTCACTTATATCACTGCTTTTCTCTCTTGTGACATGGAAGCCTGACTGATTACACTTGTGGTTTTAAACCATTTTAAGCCACGATCTCACCCCTGCACAGTTTATATCATGACTGATATTGTGGAATAGTTGGCAATTTGAGGCCATGCTGATTTTGATAGGTGACAGTTAATACAAACAATATAACAGATTTTGGTATAAATTTACTGCCTGTCCATTCTTATGCCTCTGGATCATTCACCCCAGGCAGGCTGTTATTTCTGATGTTATTGAGATAGTCCACATCAGTTAAAACATCTTTCTCAAATTATACAGCACTACAAATGAACATGTTGCACACGTTCAGGGATGATACTTGATAGCTGCCCTTTGATACTATTTATCAACAACTGTAGACCAGAAATAGCAGGAAATGTACTAGCTTTGGTGTAATGCTATGACCTGATATTATATAAGCCACATCTGTTTGATAATTGCAAACACCAGTAAGAACATACAACCTAGGAGCAGGCGAGGGCTATGCACCTCCTTGAATTTGCTCAGCTATTCAATGGATCACAGCTGATCTGATGTGTTTTAAATTCCATCTACCCTAAATAGCCTTTCATTCTGTGTCTAACAAGATTCTATCTACCTCCAGCTTAAAAATACTCAATGACCCTGACTCCATATATTTCTGAATGAGAGAGTTCCAAAGTTGTTCAACTATCTAAGAGCAAAAAAAAATTCTCATCTCTATCCTAAATGGGCAGTTCTTAATTTTCAAATAGTGTCCCCTAGTTCTGGATTCACCCAAGACAGCCTTTCCACATCCATCTAGAACCTTTAGGCTCATACATGTTTCAGTCAATTTGCCCCTCACCCTTCCAAAGTCTGAAGGGAAACAAGCCCAGTTTGTCTGATTCCTCTTATAGACTTCCTGATCATTCTAAGAATAAAAAGAAAAACATGCTGGTAAAACTCAGAATATTTAGCAGCAGCAGTGGATGGAGAAAAACAGAGAACTGAGTTGCAAAAAAATCATATTGAACTCAAACCGTGAACCCTGTTTCTCTGTGCCAGGTGCTGCCAGTCATACTGAGTTTTTACAGCTTTTTCTCTTTTTATCTCAAATCCCCAGCATCCGCAGTATTTTGCTTTAATTTAACTGCTAATTCTAGGTGTCAATTTAGTAGCCCTTCTGAAATCTGCCTCCAAAGCAATGTTTCTTAACAATCTAAAACAGAATGGTTACAGCACAGAACGAGGACCATTTAATCAGTTAGTGCTGTGCCAGTTCTATGCTAAAGTAATTCAGCTGGTTCCAGTATCCTGTTGTGACACACCCAGTCTTTTCTCTTCAGGTAACTGTACAATTTCCTCATGAAAGCCATGATCGACTCTGCCTCCATCACACTCTTAGGCAATGCACTTCAGATTCCAACTACTTGCTGCAGATTTTGGGGATCAGCCACATTATATTTAGTAACA